GCAGCATCTAAAGCAGGAGTGCAGAGTGGCATGTCAAGATTTAACCCTCCTGCCCTGGGCAGTGCTGCTCTCCCAGAGGGGAAGGGGACGACTCTTCACCATGCACCCTGTGTATCACTTTAGTCAATGCAAACCTTTCAGTGGACTACCAGTTGCTAATGGAAACTCACTGTTGATTACATAATTTCGCCTGAGTCATTTTGCTAGTGCTGCAGCTGGGGAGAATGGATTAAGAGTTTTAAACAGATTAAGAGTTTTAACTTTCTCATGTTAGTTTTTCATATTTCATTTTAAATAAAGTAAAATATTATGTCCAATAAAAATGGTTTAAATGTTTTCTTTCTTTATGGCAGAGGTCAGGAACCTTTTCTGAGTTGAGGGCCACACAAGTGAGAAGCAAAAAAACTCCTCCCCAAATCCCCAACCCTCACCGATGTGGCCCCCAACTGAGACACCTCACTGTTCTGACACTCCAGCCTCATGGGGTGAGGGAAAGGGACAGGGCGGACTGAGAGTCAAGGCTTTTCATAGCCCAGATTTACTTTTCTGGGGTTCTAAAGTTAGTGAATTTTGTAGACCCTCTTAGGCTCTCAGAGAGAGGTACAAAAATAAGGGGTTCAATGTGCGGGACAGGGCTGCCAGCGAATGGGATAGGGATGCAGGAGGTGGGGTAGAGGACAAGGTAAGAAGGGCAGAGTCTGGAAGGAAGTTTGGCGACAGGAAAGAGCATGGGGTGGGGATGCGAGAGAGAGTTTGGGAGCAGGAGGGAATTGGAGGAGATAAGCAGAAAGGGTGAGAAGGTGAGAATGCAGCCAAATTAGCTAGTTGGAGAGAGAGGCAAAGAAGTGGGGACTAAAGGAAAGTGCAGCCTCTACAAAGTAAAATTGTATCCCCCTTTCACATCTTCCCTCTGCTCCAGCATTGTTCCCCTAAGCTCCATGATCCCTCCCTACCTGATCCCCTGCATCGCCCCATGCCCTTCAGTGAAATCCCTGCCCCCGAATCCTCCTTTGCTCCCTCCCCCCATACCATCACATCCCTGTGCCCCAGCTTCCGTCCCCACCCTGCCAGTGAGGAAGGCAGAATCTTTTCCCTGCCCTGCCTGGCTATTTGCCTGCAGGCTGTGGCTCCCGGACCGGAGCAGCAGTGGGGGCAGGCTGGGGGCGCCA